ACAATAATTTAAAGACATAAGTAAAACAATCAAGGAATCTTCTCAAACTTGGCGAGAGAAGAAGCATAACATCGTGGCGAGGCATTGTGACTGGGTCCAGAATGCCTGGACCCCACAACTAGCTTACTAACTGTTTGACCCTGAGAGGTTGTTTCACTTCTCTGTACCTCGCTTTCCTCATCTACAGAATTGTGATAATAATGGTATCTACTTTTAGGCTCTTTGTGAAGATAAAATTAGTTAATATATGTGAAGCACAAAGAAAACACAGCAAATGTCATATAAGTGTTATTTTAACTATATAACCATTGGATGTAAAATATTTTTTTTTTTTTAATCTGGGTTTTCATCACGAATATAGTGCATGGGACACCTGGGTGGCTTAGTTGGTTAAGCATCCGACTGCAGCTCAGGTCATGATCTCATGGTTTGTGAGTTCAAGCCCCGCATCGTCTGGGTGCTGACAACTCAGAGCATGGAGCCTGCTTCGGATTCTGTCTCCCTCTTTCTCTGCCCCTCCTCCACTCACACTATGTCTCTCTCTGTCTCAAAAATAAATAAACATTTAAAAAATAAAAAAAAAAGAATATAGCGCAAAATTATAAATCCATCAGTTATATGTTGCTTATTTTCTACTTACCTATTTTAAGACAAAGTTCTAGTTGCTTAAAAAAATGAGAACTTTCAGACCACCAAGTTAAAGACTACATAAATGCAAAGTGTTTGATATTAGCAGCTGTCTAATCAAGACTTTCTCTTTCTTCTTTACGTTACAGAGAAGTTTTTCTTTGGTCCCTCTTCTCAGTAATGCAAAGTCATTGAGGTGAAGATCTGTTAGTATTAGAATTATTTCAATCACAAGTATTAGGGTAGGAGGGGGAGTGTGTCATGTGCCAAGTGTGCAGATAGGGAAGCAATGTAAAATGGTTTGGCATCTTGGTAAAGTTTAGGTGCTACATATTCTTTCTTTGTCCAGTAAAGGGCCTTGTTGATTGCCTGGAGAAACAAAAGTAAATATGAGGAAGTAGCATTCTTGTTTACAATTTCTGTAACAATGCAATGTGCAAATGTCATATAGCTTATTTTTTTAAGTCTATTAATCAAATTTGGGTTGAATACATCTAACTTGCTTTATTTCCAAATTGCAAAGTTTCTTCCAGGGCAACTACAGAAGATCCGGCCAGGTTTCCAGCTCAGAGGGTAGAATTCGGGATTGAGTTCTGAGGAGGAGGGGGTATCTCGCCAAAACATGTTTGAATAAACAGTGTCAGAAGGATGAGAAGAGATACATGAGAGTCAGGCTGAGGAAAACCAAACACCAACAGCAGGAAGAACAAGAAGAACTCATTAGAAACAAGAGTGCTTATTTCAAATTGTTTTGAATAATACTGGTATGGCCTCAGCTTAACTCTATAGTAGGAAGATGGATGGTCATGGTGTGTGGGCCAAAAATATGAGACTAGAGTGGAAATGAACTTCTCAAGACCAAGGTTTCCCTTTCTCCATGTTGACCATTTCATTCTTCCTTAAGAGGATCTCAGCAAAAGAAACCAGAAAACAAAGAGGCAAAGCAAATGTGCCTGCATCTTGCACTAAGGACAACATAAAGAGCGGGTTTTGAAAATTAGGGTCTTAGTCATCCATGATACCTTTGCCTCATTAACATGGATAATTGAAATTTGATTTTTCTCAACCAGTTTTATTTTTTTTCTAAATAGAAAAGATCATCTTATACCTCACCTGCTTTCAGTAGTTGCTGTTCTTTACTGTGTTTACTGCTTTCAGCATTCTGACAAGCTCCAGAATAATGACCTATGCTGTGTATTGTTAAACGTTCAGTCAGACAGATAGATACAGATAGATGAGTATGTGTTGCACAAAGACAGTTTAGCATTATTCAATCAATGTTTGTTTGATCCCTCTAAAACAAGTATAAATGTAAGCTGCATCCCATCTGTTTTATCATCCATGTGAAGCCAACCTCATTTCTAAAACTTGATTTCTTATGTAATTGCCCCAGAATGACAGAGGATGATCAGTTGGGAAGAAATATCTTTCAGACTGGCGAGATAAAGGATAGTTTTGTTGAAGTGTGTTTCATATGTTGGGCTTCCTCATTTTGCAGTGGCCTTCGGGATAAGTAGTAGCATCTTGGCTTGGTAATTACCAGCTGTTAATCATCAGTTGGGCTTTGAAATCACACAGACCTGGGTTTGAGGGTGAATGTATGAGCCTAGCTGTGTGAGCAAATTACTTAACCACCAAATAGCACAGTGCCTGCCACAGAGCAGGCCCTCAGTAAGATTTATTAAATTAATTTTTCTTTACTTCAATTTCCTTGTCTGTAAAATGAAGAAAATAACAATACCTACCTCATAGCATTTATGAAAATTAAAACGGGATACTGCATGACCTGGCAGCTATTATAATTATCCTATTACTATAGGTCTTCTTCTCATGGGTCATACTTTAAGTCTAAGCATATTAACATATGTGAAATAAAACTTATGTTTCCATTACTGGTTTTTAAACTCTTCAATGTGTAGGTATCAAATCGAGCATTCAGAAGGCTGAGAATATGTGGCAAGAGTGGAAATTGACATGAGTTAACAGTGTCTGCATTGATAGATGCAATTTCATTAGTCTAATTAAATGCTTGCCACTTTACACATCTGTGAGTGATCATAGTCTGAATAACGGTCATCAGAGGGAGTAATACCTTCCACCAAAGCACTGAACATCAGCGAGCTTAGCCGCTTCTTGGGATATTTTAGAAAATAATGTGCAAGAAGCTTATGTACTCAGTAACGCTCATCAGTGTAAAGTGGGATATCAGTGGTAGTTGTAATTTCGGGATCACATACTTTATTATTAAACTGTATGATAATGAGTGTTAAAGTTATTAATCATAGTGCACTTTACCTTGCAGTTTCCATTGTCTGTTCTCTAATTGCCATGATATAGGGAAGAATTACTCCATGATTTCTCTTTATGAACTCTTCTCAACAACATTTATCCATCAATTCAATTCATTTAAGAAAATCTCTTGAACCATTTATTGAGCCATCTTTGTCAGTGCAAAGATGACTGAAGGTGTATGGGTAGGACTGTGGCTAAGGACTCTAGAATTTAAGCTGTAGGTCATTCAGAGCCAGTGGAATTCTTAAGCAGGAAACTAACCTGTCCAGAGCTGATCTTCAAAAAGACTACTTTGGTATGAAAAGTGACTTGTAGTTAGAGGTTTGAAGAGAGAGTCCAAGCAGACATCAGATACTGAAAGATTGAGTTTAGGAAGTGGCAGTGGGCTGGTGACTGGGGGCTGATTTAAGAAAACAATAAGGTATGGCTTGGTCATCAAATAAATATGCTTTGTATAGAGAAGGTTCAAGGTTGACTTGAAGGCTTCCACCCAGGCATCTGCATGTTTTAGCTCATCAGATACTTGGAGAGAAGTACATTCTGCAGGGGAGATAATGAGCTTCCCTGGAAGAACAAGCTAGAAAGACCCCTAATTATATGATTCCTTAGACTCTAAAGCATAGATAATTATTTTGCTGAATATTTTTTCAATGATAGGCTACTTATATATAGATTAGCATTGGCTAAGAAAAGATAAGGGTTTTATAACCCTTGGTATATTAGGGGCTAGAATCCATACTGCTGAGAATTTTAGAATGTTTGGAGGCTATTCATGAGGGTTAATAGGTCGACTCTTTGCAGTTGTGAGTTTTACCAGCCCTGTTAAACACAAAATATACACATCTTTAATATTGTCACTGCTGTTGGATATGTTTTACTTTCCAGTTCTACAGATACACATAAAGGCATGAAAAATGCCCAGTGTCAAAACTAACTGCTAAAAACTCTATTAACATAACATAGTATCTTTACTTTTCACAGAATTTTACCTGCATATAACCCTTACCATTATTTCTGAAAACTTGATTTTAATCATTTGAAATCATGTTTATGTAATTACTGAACTCATGTTTCCTTATACCATGAAATTACGTCTTAAAAAAGTGCCCATGTCCTATGATAAAAGAAAAGAGGTTTTGATTTCCATAACATTGCAGGAAATTAAAAAGTCCTTTAGAGTATTTTTTTTCTATAATCAGATCCTGAGTTCGGTCTCAAAATGATACTTCTTTAACTCTAAGAAAACTATATATTATTTTATATTCTGTGTAATATTTATTTTAGATTATTGAGTAATGGGTTGAATGAAGGTATAAAGAAAATGCATTATAAATCAGAAAAAATATGTTTCAGTTAATATAACACATAATAATAGGAAACATAAGTAGAAAAGCAATTAGATCCTATCTGCATTGGGTTATAAATTAATATTTGAAGATAAACATTAGATTTACCAACTTCCCTTCTTTACTGTTATTCTTAACTGTTTGAATTGTACAGATTGCTTGTGCTACTGGCCATAGTGTGTTATGGAGAAACAGACAAAATTTTAAGTTGCCATCAAAGTGGAAGCCTAGAAGTGAAGAAAAAACAGGGAAACCTGTGCCCAGTGAAGCTAGTGAATGGCCAATAAATTTAAAGGGTGAGGTTACGTCCTGACAGGAAAGACTAGGGAGAATAATCAAGATAAAATAATGTTCACAGAACCAGAAGGAGTATTGAGCCAGATAACTTATAAACTACAGCTGCAGAGAAGGAAATGGAAAACTAAAACAATTTTTAAAACACTGCCTTTCCAATATTAATGGAACATCCATATCGATTTTTTTTTCATTTGAATCAATTGTTGGTGACTATCACTGTTTTTTACTATGATTAATCATTTCATGTTAAGCTGGGTATATTAGTGTTCAGCTTCATAAGTAGGGTCATCTTGATAAAGTGTGGCTTCAGACTTTTCTTTTTAAATCATGTTTGTTACTTGTGATAAATGCCTATAATCTGGTGTTATTCAGTATTGATTTTGTGTGTGTGTGTGTGTGTGTGTGTGTGTGTGTGTGTGTGTGCTGTTTTTCTTTTAGTCAATTGACCCTGGCCAGCAGTTCACATGGGAACATTCAAACTTGGAAGTAAACAAACCAAAGAATAGATATGCGAATGTAATCGCATATGATCATTCCCGGGTTCTCCTATCAGCAATAGAAGGTAAGGAAATTCAGACATTATTTATACTTTTATTTTTCATGAATTTCTAAGTGTTTGCATGAAAATATAGTTTTAACTAGGTTTTTCGCTATCTATGGAAATAGCTAATTAATATTCAGGCACCGCTTGTTCTCACATTTTCTTTACTTCATACAAGTATACTGTATATGGGTACACAACATCCCCAGCACCACATAGCATAGATGCATCTGTCATTACCTTCTTACCTCTATTCTAGGTGAAAGACTTCGTAAGGTACATGATGCTTGTAGAGGGGAAGCAAATTGAGGTTGCCCATTTTACTGATGGTTGCTGATATAAATAAACAGGTGATTGTCAGAAGATGCTCATAGACTATTATTTTTAAATGGGTGAGCGGTTTGTAAATAAATCTGGATACCTCCTAGGGACAGTAGAAAGTTTAGGAGTTTGTGGCGTGGTGATTTATAAAAATTAAGCATATCAGAAATGTCTGGTACAGCTAATTTGTGGACTGTTTGGTAATCTATCTCTCGCAATTGTAGCAAGTAGTTCATTCCAGAGGGAATGGTTGCTCCCAAAAGATGAGGAATACACCTCTAATATACCTAGCTTCTTGTAAGGAGTCATGAGGAGAGTATTTTCCATTCATCTCTTTCCAGTAATAAATCTCTTCACATGGCATATTAAAATCATTTAGGAGCGCATGTTCAACACTCAGCATTTTGTTAGTTTTTTTGTTTTTGTTTTTGTTTTTTTGCTATGGTAGCACATTGGATTGCTGTCCTTACAAAATAGTTTACAATGTCACTTAAATCCTTCCTTCTGTCATAATAGCTAACCTGGACCACCACCTTCCACATACCACATTCATCCTCACTGACATCCAGAAAAGCTCTGTGGCCTTTACATACTTGAAGGTTCACCACTTACCCTCTTCCAGATGTCTTATTAAACCTTGAATAATACCAACTTCAGACCCAGTCATTTTCAGAACCTTACGGTTCAAACATTTTCATCTACACTTGTTCAAATATCTTTCACATTTTTCTGCTTCCCAAATCTGTGATTTGGGAGGTACCACTTACCTCCTAACTCTGACCAAGCCCTACATGCCTTGTTTTATGCCCAAAATTAATTTGAAAGTGAGACACTGATTTCCCAGTAAACACAAAAGGCAACCAATGCATTTATTTCCAGTGTTTGGGGAACAAGAACTATCTTCCAGCATGTGAGCAAGCCCAAACCTGCAGCCTCCTTTCTGCAAAATGGTGTTATACGGCATAGATATATTTTATAAAGTTCTCATAGTCAATTTTACTTTTGATGTTGGAAAATGTTATAATCCATTTTTGAGGCTATTAAAGATCCTAGGATCTTGAGAGTTAATGTTTTTCCATACAGGAAAAAAAATATCATGTTTATCAAAATTTCACCAATGCTAATTCAAGCAAGATGGTGTCAGACAGGTAATTGCTTCAAGTCCTGTTTGAAAACTGTAATTGAGGGGCGCCTGGGTGGTGCAGTCGGTTAAGCGTCCGACTTCAGCCAGGTCACGATCTCGCGGTCCGTGAGTTCGAGCCCCGCGTCGGGCTCTGGGCTGATGGCTCGGAGCCTGGAGCCTGTTTCCGATTCTGTGTCTCCCTCTCTCTCTGCCCCTCCCCCGTTCATGCTCTGTCTCTCTCTGTCCCAAAAATAAATAAATGTTGAAAAAAAAAATTAAAAAAAAAATAGCTATAAAGCTATGTTTAAAAAAAAAAAAGAAAACTGTAATTGATTTATGTGGATGATTATTTGCATATAGCGTCTACATTTTATCTTTGTATTTCCCCCTTTAAAATGTAAAAAAAAAAGCAATGTCTTGCCTCAAGTTTCTTAAATCAACTCCATAGATAATAAGAAACTAACCCAAGTCACAAGTGGAGGAAGGAAATCTTTTTTTTTTCCATTAGCAGAACAGGTAAATTATAGAAATTAAATGAATATAAATTGAGAATCTATTTGGCATGATCTTGGCTGGAGAACTTGTCAGTCTGCCTTTGCTGTATTATAACATTGTTTTCACTCAGAATTAGGTCATTCAATACTACTGTGTCCCTGTACTTTTACACACTTTATCATTATTTTCCTTAACCTGTTATTTTCCACCATCTTAACAGTAAAGTATGTCGAAGGACAAAGAATATTCCTCTTTGTACATTTATTATGATATATGGAAACTATGTACATTTCATTCCTATGCTATTTTTACAGTACAAAAGCCAAAGCATTGAATCAGACTAAAACCTGCCTTTTTATAGTTCTATGCTCATAAATATACCCTAAATCTAGAGCTGACCTAGAAACCAAAAGTGTTTCAATTTTAAGTCTTATGCAAAAGGTTACAAGCATTTAATTGAAGTTTATAGGCTATAGAGAGAGCTTTAATCTAGATTACAACCATGAACAACATTTTATCTAAGACTAAGCCCTAATCAGCAGATATTTAAGGGGGTAAGCAACAATCCTATATCTTAAGCACAGAAAGGGAAATGCTGGAGACTGGAACCATAGCTCACTGAGGCTTCCCACATAAAAGGAGCTTTGATAATACACAGCCAGATTTTTTAAGAGCATTTAAATGTTAAGAGACTTGGGGCATCTGGGTGGCACAGTCGGTTAAGCGGCCGACTTCGGCTCAGGTCACGATCTCACGATCCGTGAGTTCGAGCCCTGCGTCGGGCTCCGTGCTGACAGCTCAGAGCCTGGAGCCCGTTTCAGATTCTGTGTGTGTGTCTCTCTCTCTCTGCCCCTCCCCTGTTCATGCTCTGTCTCTCTCTGTCTCAAAAATAAATAAACGTTAAAAAAATTAAAAAAAAATAAATGTTAAGAGACTTCATGCACAATTTATAAAATTTAACATGCTTGTTTTAGGCTCCACCTGTGGTGATAACTTAAAAGACTTTGGTCAAAGGTTTTGTTTTGGACACTTTTGCTGCTGTTTCCCCAGCGGTGCTGGCTGCTCTTCATGTTTACTTTGAGTAAACATGTAGGTCAGAGTGGTCTGACCTACAATAAAGAAGATCTGGAAAGTCGCCACAGTGATTCCTAGTATCCTTATCTTGTTTCCTAGAGCAAAACTTTTACATGACTTCCGCCAAGCAGTGGCAGGGGAAATAAACTAAAGAATGGGGAATTTTGTGTCAGCACCAGCGTGCTTATTGAATTCTGTGAAAATAGTGATACATCATGACATGTTTCCAAATTACAGCCATCTTATTTATGTTGGGGAAAATGTGGAGCAAATTCAAGAGAGTTCTAACTACAGAATGCTTACAATTATTGAATTGCAGAGCAAGCAGTGTGGAAACTGCTTTTGACCAGTCCACTTACCGTTTAAGCTGTTCTTAAGAGAACATAGTAATACCCGAGGAAAAGAGGTGATAGGATTTATTTTCATAGTTAAAGCTAAATATTGTCAAAGACTAAATGGGAACTAATACTTATATTACAATTAAATAGTATATAATAATATGCTTGATCTTATAGAATTCAGTTATTCATTACTTTTACTAACGTAGGAAAAAAGAAATTGATAAACCAAAAGATAAGAGCAAGGAAATCTGGGTTTGGGTCACAGCTCTGTCACTTACTAGTTATGTAACCTGGTCTTCTCTCAGTATCAATTGTTTCAGCTGAAACCTTATTTATTTACTTATTTATTTAATTTGAGTATACTTGCCATACAATGTTACATTATTTTCAAGTAAACATCCTAAGTGTTAGGCAACTGATTCACCTTCTCTTAAGTTATGCTGTGCAGAAGACAAGTGTAGCCTCCATCTTTCACATACAATACTATTAAAATATCACTGACTATATTCTGTATGTTGTGCCCTTTATTCCCATGACTTATTCCTTCCATAACCAGAAGGCTGTATCTCCCACTCCCCTTCACCCATCTTGCCCATCCCCCCACCCACCTCCCCTATGGCAATCACCAGTTTGTTCTAGGTATGTATAGTCTATTTCTGCTTTTTATTTATTTATTAATTTGTCTTATTTTTTAAAAGCCACATGTGCGTGAAATCCCTTTCACTTCTGACTGGTAGGAGTTAACTCTATGTAGCTTTCTTATCAATTGTATCATTTACTGTATACACTACAGTTTGATGAAGCAACAGCATAAGTACCTTACTATATACATATCCACACTTGGAGATGAGAAGAGTGAAGCTCAGAGTGTCGGCCCTAAGCCATACCACATATGAGTAACAGAGCTCAAACTAGAAGTGCGCTCTTGTGATTCTCTGACCCATGCCTGCATAGGCCCACATATTCGCACTGCTTTCCTACTGATAGAGGATGTATCTGTGACTAAGTCACTAGCTTGAATCTCAATGCCCAGACTTATCACTTTGCCTAAAAGTCCACTTTATCCATAGGCTGTAACCTATGGATAATATAAACATTACATTTTAGTATTTCATTTCCTATTTTACGGCAGAACTAATCTGAGGCAATGACACAATACAGGGACTCAGTAGTGATCCCAATGCTTAGGTTCCTGCAGTTGTAGAAGTAAGGTCAAGTGTATCTATCCTTAATTGATTCCAAAAGTGATCTACTTACCTCAATTCTTGTATGTATCTTCAACTTCTTATAAACCCAGGAATATCAATTAGTGGCAGATTATTTATTGTAATGTCTTATAACTAGGAAAAAATCAATCTAATTATTTCAGTTCTAGATAAAAACATTTTTTTCTAAAATTAAATTGCTCTTCACTGCTGCCAGTATTGTATTTCTATTAGTAGAATCATAATTAACATTTCACTTTAAAAGCCATATTCAAATGGAATTATTTTAATTGTTGGCCAGGACTAAATATAAAGCAAACTTTTTAAAAGCCTACTTTTTATGTCAATGACAAAGACAAGGAGTTAAAATAGATATGATTCTCTGGGTATCTATTGTGTGTTGGGCACCATGTCATAGATTTTATATAGTGTATAAAATCATGGATAGATTTTATCTATAAT